ACAATATAAACAAGGGGTGGTATTTGAAAAGATTTCTCGTGGTGAAACTTACAGAATAAAGTGCGCGATGAATAGAAATTTAATATGTTCTCCATTCTGGATTGGTAAGTACATACCAAACCAACGGACAATAAATGCATGATATTTAGATTCCACCTATACACACCGCCATCTGTTGGCGATAAAGTTAAGACACCATGTTACCATCTTTGAAATATTTCAATAGCTGTTGTTGTCATCTTTCATCAAATAGCAATCTGCTCCTCTGCTGTTGTCGACATGTATCGGAATTGCCAGTGCATCGCCAAAGTCACATGACAGTCAATGAATATTTCTCGATAAATAGGCTGAGCGTCCGCGTTCGATTGGAAACAGCTGCAAGTTTTCGAGGTTGGTCGTGTGTCCGCTAAATCAAAACCTTCATAGTGAGTGAGTATCGTTTTACGCCGCTTTTAGCAATATTCTAGCAATATCAAAGCGGGGGGCACCAGAAAAGGGCTTCACAAATTGTACCCATGTCGGGAATCGAACCCGGGTGTTCGGCGTGACGAGCGAACGCTTCAACTACGAGGCTACCCGACCGCCCCCAAAGCCCCCAAAATTTAAGCAACATCACGGGGGACACCAGAAATAGGCTTCACACATTGTACCCCTTAGTGGAATCGAACTCGGGCCTTCGGCATATCAGCGAACGCTTTAATCACATGACTACCCCACTGTCCGAACAAAATGGGAAACCACCCTTAAAAGACCACGTGGGTATTACTAAAACTGGTATCCATGTTGCAGTACATATGAGACGAAACCGCATTTTGAAACGAATTTTCCGGACAAGTGAATCGTTAGTGATATATCTTCGGTATCCTCGGGGACAGTGTGTCGTTTTCCGCGAAGTGACTTACACACCAGGTTATTTCTCGCTGTTTGCTGTGGTTGTTGACATGTCAATAACATACGGGAATTTGGAGGGTCACGAAATAGTCATGTCCCGACATGGTTCGATATGATTGTCGGATTAACGAGTGTGACGGAGAAACGAAATTAAGTAATTATCAATGTTCGTGATCGAAAATCGGACAACTGCACTGTACATAATATCCATGCATGTATGTTGGTTGTTGGCTGGTTTGTTGTTTAACGCCGCACTCAGCAATATTCCAGCTATATGGCGGCGGTCTGTAAATAATCGAGTCTGGACCAGACAATCCAGTGATTAATATCATGAGCATCGATCCACGCAATTGGGATCTATGACATGCATCAACCAAGTCAGCGAGCCTGACCACCCGATCCCGTTAGTCGCCTTTTACGACAAGCATAGTCACCCTTTACGGCATGCATGGTTTGCTGAAGACCTATTCTACCCCGGAAGCATGTATGTTGTAATATAATCATTAAAAACGAAAAATTCATATAGTTAAGTTAAAGCTACTATTTTAACCCTCATGTTATCTTTGAGGGTTAATGCAAAATGTAAGTATCCTTGTTCGAGTCTTTAAAACTGAAAAAGACAATTTAAGTTCCCAACGAAACGTTAAAATGAAAAGTTTATATGTTATTTTTAAAACAAATTTGAAAGTTTTGAAAGGTATTCTTATTATGAAGTGAACTAAAGCTCAGCCTCAGGTTTGATAAAAGCAGCACAATTGCAACTCAACGCCGCCAGGCTATATAGCAATTACAATATCTTAAAGTTGAGTGAATAGGTTTGTCAGTGTATTTGCCGTGCATGAATATGAACGTACACTTCAGTACGTTTCATAGCTCAAGGTGGCGTCCAACGTCTAAGACGCCGCATTTCGCAATGCAATGTTGCGCTCCTCAGGAGTGCAAGAGACCTATGATCGTGGGTTCGAATGAGACCTAGATCCCTTTTTAGACATATAAGACCAAGATCACTTTGTGCTTTCCAACCACATCGATCTGACACGCAGTGATCCAACTGCTATACTGTTTAAAGCTCACATTAATCAGATAATCGGAGACCTGACCGGTTGACATTTACAGCTATTTGTGTCAACTTGTATTTCCGTTCAGCTTAACTGCAATGTCTATACATTGATTATAACGGACAACACACGTAGAACATAGCACCCCTTACATAACCAGCAGACCCGTGAAGATTCCGGGGTAGAATAGGTCTTCAGCAACCCATGCTTGCCGTAAAAGGTGACTATGCTTGTCGTACAAGGCGACTAACGGGATCGGGTGGTCAGGCTCGCTGACTTGGTTGATGCATGTCATCGATCTCAATTGCGCGGATCGATGCTCATGATATTAATCACTGGCTTGTCTGGTCCAGACTCGATTATATACAGACCGCCGTCATATAGCTGGAATATTGCTGAGTGCGGCGTTAAACAACAAATCAACCAACCAACCAACCAACATAACCAGCACGGGTACATGGTTCAGACCAATGTTAATAAACTGGGTGAATCACAAATTTGAACTCACGACAAGCGGATCCAGGTTCCACAAAGGGACAACACTCTGTTGTGCGACGATGAGTGCGTGTGTTGGTTGAGTTCAACTCCGCTTTGATATATTCCACTTATATCACGGCATGTCAGCCTAATGTGGGAGGAAAGCCCAAAGTGTTGCAAGTCTCAGACGCTTACCACTGCGTGAAACCCACGAGCACGGGTATTGTGCTGATAAACCTAAAAACATAAACGGGACGAACCGGGATTCGAACCCACGATGAGAGCTTGCTGGCGTGCCCACGGGACGTAACTCTGAACAGTGATCAGCAACTGAGAGAACAAGGCGATGCCTGATTGAAATATTTGAGAGCCATCTGTAAGATGCACGCATAGATCCGTGGTCCTGCTGTCGAATCCATTCAAGTGTCTGATTGATGGGCTGCGTCGTTTTTTTATCATTATTGCAGCAATAACACGGCGGGGCACACGGTGAATGGGCTTCATACTTTCTAGCCATGTTTGGAATCCAGCCTGTGTCTCCGGCCCGATGAAACTCATTTATGTACAATTACATCATCTGTTCTTCTGAAGTCGAGGAGTGTTCCCTCACGGCGCTGACCATCAGTTGAAGGCGCCTCCACACAGCCGTGGATCGATGGAAACAAGAAAATGGCATAACGGGACTTTTTAAGCCTGTATTATGAAACTCCCCTTTGTGGTATATCCATTTGACAAAGCATATCCTATTGTCAGGGAATGACACAGTGTCCTCTCATTAGGGATTCTGGGCTAGAGTGAGTGAGTGAGTGAGTGAGTTGGGCTTATCGCTGCTTTTAACAGTATTCCAGCTATATCACGGCGTGTCAGCTTAATGTTAGAGGAAAGCCCGAAATGATGCAGGTCTCAAATGTTTACCACTTCTGTGAAACCCACGAGCACGGGTATGGTGCTGACAAACCTAGAAACATAACCGGGGCGAACCGGGATTCGAACCCGCAATCATAGGTTTCTGGCGTGCCCAAGGGACGCAACTCTGCACGGCGAATCGCAGCGCCTTAGACGACTGGGCCAACCGTGCCACCTTCTGGGTTAGAACATAGGCCCCGAGCAACGATGTTGGTCATAAGAGACGACTGAATGGATCGGGTGGTCAGGCTCGGTGACTTGGTCGAGTGGGTCTCATCGTCTCCCGACGGCGTGAAATTTTGCCAACAATAACAATCAATGGTTTGTCTGGTCAAGAGTCGTCTATTTACAGACCGTTGTCATACAGTCAGAGTGTGAGTGTATTTGGTTTTACGCCGCTTTTAGCAATATTCCAGCAATATCACGGCGGGGGACACCAGAAATGGGCTTCACACATTGTACCCATGTCGGGAATCAACCCGGGTCTTCGGCGTGACGAGCGAACGCTTTAACCACTAGGCTACCCGACCGCCCCCATACAGTTAGAATATTGCTGAATGCGACGTCACACAACAAGCAGAACAAACAAACACAGTGTCGCCGGGCAAGTGATTTGGTTTAGTGTCACGGCGTGTCAGCTTAACGTCCAATGAAAGCTCAAAATGATGTGGGACGTTTACCGCTTTGGTTGCTGACAAAACAGATCATAACTCAAGGATTCGAACCCACGATCAGCGGATCCGTTCATGGTTCATAATCGTGGGAAATATTAGACCCCAGGAAAGCCTTGAATGGGATACTTGATCAGTCCATGCTCGTGGGTTCAGGGCTCAGGTGAACATTTGACTTGCCTTTGCATGTGTTTGTAAATCGTGTCACCGGTGGGACAGGATACGCTCACCTTAATGCGAACACATGGTATCACTGACTGACTGAGTATGGTTTTACGCCGCTTTTAGCAATATTCCAGCAATATCACGGCGGGGGACACCAGAAACACATGGTATCATTACTATTTGATAGTGATTCATAAATAAATTCTAATGATATAGTCGGAATCGTACAACGGACTCTGCTCGAAGCAGAGATTTCTTGTGATTATGGAAATGGTTTTGTCACTTTTATTTCACCAAGGTGACGAACGTGTATGAAGTGTGTCACGATAGATTTTCCACCCACACCAAGCTGACACACCGTTATATGACTTCATTACTGTTCAAAGTTGAGATAAATCCACTTCACTCACCACATGATGTTTTTCTCTAGTTAATAGGTTTTTGGTATTCTCTTCAACTTTAACCACCTATTTGCATAATTGATACTTCGATATCATAATCAAATAACTTTCTGAATATATGTCACAGTAAGTTAATTAGCACCCTATGTCTACTCCTTAAGAGTTCCAATCGAACTTAACAAATGACATCCAACTAAAATTAATTCTAGTAACTGTGACATTTATTTAAAAAAACTTTTCGGATAAATTACAACCCAAATTCCACGTTAAAGCTCTAACCCCGCGGTATATATAACGGATTCAATATAACAGCATAAATCATACAGGCGCAGAACGTCGCCCGCGCTATCCGTCACGCCACTCCGACGTACAGCGCGCATTGATCCGTACGTGGGACAAGGGCTGGCCATTATATATCGGCATTACACGCAACATGTTGCTTGTACACTGCACGGCGCAGAGAGTGAGAGAGAGAGCGAGCCAGCATCAAGTCAGGCGCTCAGAGGGATACAGAGCCACGCCCGGGGACCGACAGTAACGCTGCATTTTGTGTACATGTGACTTCAACCTGAAAGCCCTTACCTCGGATTCCTTGGACCACTTTGTCACTGTGGCGTAAAAGTGCCGATTTGAAAGTTTTGAGTCAACAATAATTCTACTCTGAATTGAATAATTTCAAAACTTTGTCGGGTGATTTTAGAAAGGAAGACATCAACTGACGCGTTTGTTATACTGAAGGATTCACGTTACCGGTGAGAATGTGAAAAGTATTGTTCTTTATTCAATATAGCGATCCAAATAACAGAAAGGATATAGTTTGGGTTAGGCATTTGTTCTTTGGAATAGATCTTGGCTCTTTGTCAGATTCTTCTGAGGCAATAATTTTCGAGAAGGTTGTGAGATTCGCACTACGAGAATGACATTGACTAGTTCCTATGATCAGAGGTCACGTGATTGATATGTGATGATGGAGATTAAGTGCGTGTATTTGACATTCGAACCCCTTCAGTGATACAGTTGATCTAACGAATAGTGAACTTGTATTGTGCTCATTGAACCGTGACAGGAATACTACTTCAATGAGAGACGCCTGGGAATAATTAGTCTCTGCTTGTCAATTCTGCTTAATCCTTTAATTATCACCTATTAGCATTCCTCCTCTCCATCAACTGTACAAAGTTCGTTTCCAAGATGGCGACAAAGAACCAGCGGAAGTTGAAACTTCTGCAGGATCGTATGCAAGCGGGTTTGACAGAGGACGAGAGAGATTTCTTACAGGCTGCGGAACTCGGGGACATCGATGCTATCAAGACTCTTATACAGACAGAAGCTGTATCTGTAAACTGTGTCGATCCACAGGGACGTACTGCTTTAGAAGCAGCCGTAGCAGCTAACGATGAAGACATCGTCCATTATCTTCTGGCTAAGGTGAAGGACAAGACGGTGCACAAGGCTCTGTTGTGTGCGTGTGACAATGACAGGGACAAGATCAGTGAGATCATTCTTCAGCATCCTCTGTATCAGGAGAGAAATGCTTCTGCCACCCACGAACAGATCTGGAAGCTTGGAAGTAAGTCCACGTCAGGTCACCCGAATGTTGACACCCTTCTCAGAGAGGCGCTGCTCAGGGCGGCCAAGAGGAATAATTTCCTGATTGTAAAACAGCTGATGTTGATGGGAGCTCATTTAGACCCCCCTCACGACTATTTCTGTAACTGTAATGAGTGCACAACTCAGAGGAGTGAGGACTTCAAGGTGTACACCAACCACCGGTTGGACACATATAGCGCCATGGCTAGCCCTGCTTATATCTCTCTGACGGAAGAGGACCCCATAATGTCTGCCTTTAAGCTCAGCCAGGCCTTCAAGCGTATGGCTGAAATAGAGTCAGAGTTCAAGGTAATATGGAATGTTTGTAAACCATTGTTTTTCAGTTTTTATTTCACCTCACAGCTTAGGATATAACAAATATGGATACAGCGATTGGACTTCAGATAGGTTTGAGCCTTTTGTCGTAACAATTCAACATCGCACCCAGAACCATCAAAATCTGGGGGCCACGGGTGGCCCAGTCGTCTAAGGCGCCGCGATTCGCTGTGCAGAGTTGCGTCCGTGGGCACGCCAGAAGCCTATGATTGTGGGTTCGAATCCCGATTCGCCCCGATTATGTTCTAGGTTTGTCAGCACCATACCCGTGCTCGTGGGTTTCACCTAAGTGGTAAACGTCTGAGACCTGCATCACTTCGGGCTTTCCTCCCACATTAAGCTGACACGCCGTGATATAACTGGAATACTGTTAAAAGCGGCGTTAAACCCAACTCACTCACTCATCAATAATTGTCTTCTGAATATACCCATGTGAGAATCAAATCCGGGTCTGCATGGCGTTAGAACCTTTGAAACACTAGGCTACCCTGCCACTATGGGAATAGGTTATACAGGATGGGGCAGGGTTAAATAATGAGCAAAGCTACAAGGTAAGAATCATCTCCTGATATGACGGAAATTTGCCCATTAAGAATTCACACAGAATTCTACAACGTAAACCGTTCTTCACTTTGTCATAATGATTCATAAACACGTCACATCATGATATAGTCGGAATCGTACAATCGTCTCGGCCTTTAGCAGAGATTTCTATTGAATATGGAAATGGTTTTGTCGCTTTTATTCCCAGCAATAGAATCAAACCAACAGGTAGCCAAGGGGTTTCCCAAAGAAAGATTTGGCTCAGGATGGATTTTGAACGAATAATTGCCTCGGTTGCTTTTTTATTGTTTTGTTGACGAAACATAAATTATTTCTCTCTGCAACACAAGTAATTTATTTTGACATTATGACATTAGGTTTTTGCCACGTAGGCAAGTATATCCTTCCTTCACGCAGAGTCGTATATGTTAGCAGTATGTGTAAATTGTACCAAAGTGAGCAACGTCTCCGTCCTGGGTCACTTCAGGCTTTCCTCGAACATAAAGCTGAAATGTAAACTGCCAGGAAAGAGAAAGTATACGCTTGAAAACAGTCGCCGAATTTCTGACCCCATGTTCCTTGAGACGTCATGTACACGTCATCTGTTGTGAGTGAGTGAGTATGGTTTTACGCCGCTTTTAGCAATATTTCAGAAATATCACGGAAGGGGACACCGGAAAATGGGCTTCACACATTGTACCCATGTCGGGAATCGAACCCGAGTCTTCGTTGTGACGAGCGGACGCTTTAACCACTTGGCTACCCGACCGCCCCCATCTGTTGTGAGATACTCATTGCTTTGATGCATTGTATTATCGCCTATGGTACCTGTATCTGATACATCATCATCGATTAACCATTTATTATTTGTTTCAATTTGACCCATCATCAAACATGGGTGTATACTCTTTGCCAGGCAGTTTATTCGAAATGTTGTTCAAAATCACGCATAGGCCGTGAGCAGCCCTCCCAATAACGTTAGCGACGGGACATTAACGTTATTGAAATATTATTTACAAGTTTTTTTTTACCAAAAACCCTATAGTCTACAGTAAACTACGGTTATAACGAATACGCTTATAACGAACTAACGGATATAACGAACTAACTTTTTAGTCCCGACTATATGCTGTAGTTATGCTGTATATATGCTTATAACGAATTACGGTTATAACGAACTAAAATTAGTAGTCTCTTTGAGTTCGTTATAACAGTAGCTTACTGTATATTTCAACGTAACAGAAGATTATTTTTTGAATCCATAATGCAGTAAGCAGCCCTGTTTTCATCTGACTGTTTTGTTCCTTTGTCCAAAAGTTAAGCAATAATACGTTTTTCAATTTTCCCCGATCGGATCATTTTATGACGAACAAGAATTTCAACAAATACCAATATCACTGGTAGGTATAACGATATCAGAACTAAGAAATGTAATTGTTGTTATAATTGTGAAGAGAACACCAGAGCGAATGTTCGCTAACAATGTTAGCTCGAGAAGGTTCAAAAATATGAATTACGTGTATTGCTTAAAATGATCATTGGTAAGTAAGTACGATGAAGTTTGCGATTAACGTTGTGTCGCAGTAGAGCTACGCATTGGGTATATCAGTGCCGTAGCCAGAGCCGGGGGGGGGGGGGGGGGGGGGCTGGATTTTTTTTTTATAGAAAACAGTTTTATTTGAATCAAGTTGGGAACAAGCGATACTTGTACAAATATTTGCCCTCCCTGTCAAAAAAAGTTAACTACGGCCTTGTATATTGAGTTCTGAACGTCACGCATAGCCACTATATTTAATGTTGTTGGTGCAAGTAAATCACCCAAGAGATCCAAAAAGTAACACTAGTATTCGCTAATAACAGTAAACCGTCAACGTCAGAATAATCAGTGTCGACCATCTGCCGAAACAGATTCCACAGGGTGTAAAAGGCAAAATAGAGGTGAAAATTGTATGAATGGATCACTGAAAACAAATTACGACACCAGGTGTTGAACTTATATTAGAACTGACACACCTTCAGCCAAAGCACATTAATTTACCGTTGTCATGCATTGGTTCTTGTTTAAGACAGAACTGTTTTTCAGTCTGCGCTTCAACATAAACACTATTGTTGCTCTAAAGTGGAGTCAAACAATTTTCGGGGTCATCCAGTGAACGAGGGAATATTTGTTTCCGGGATTTTCGGGAGGAAATTATTATTTTAACACCTTCCTACCAGGGCCCCAGTGCAAAATGCTCCTCATTCATTCATGGTGATAATTTGATGTTAGTGTTCCTGTAGGACATATCGGCCCGAATTAAAGGTAGTTTATCAGCAGGCTTACATTCAGAAGCTGTTTCATATGAAACAGTATCGATGATAGAAGTAGCATCCGAACCAGCAGCAGTGTCAGTGGCATCAGCAGTAGGAATAGAAGCGGTACCAGTAGCAACATTATTTTCTTTTGTTTTCTTTTTTGTTGTTTAACGCCACACTCAGCAATATTCAATCTGTATGACGGCGGTCTGTAAATAATTGAGTCTGGACCAGACAATCCAGTGATTGACATTATGAGCGTCGATCCACGCAATTGGGATAGATGACATGCATCAACCAAGTCAGCGAGCCTGACTACCCGATCCTGTTACTCGCCTCTTACGACAAGCATAGTCACCTTTTACGGCAAACATGGGTTGTTGAAGACCTATTCTACCCCGTATCTTCACGGGTCAACATTAATTTAAACAACAGTAAGACTACTACATAGTTTTAACATTTGGTCATCGTATCAATAGTAGTATCAGAACTCGGTAGTGACAGTACTAATTGTAATTGTGACAGTGTAGCAGTGGCAACAGCACTTTATAATAGTTGTACCTTTCCTCTTTTGGAATCAAGATACTAGACTTGGTTTAGTTTGATCTGGACTCGCCTCTGTCTCGCTCACAGAAGCAGTGCCACCTTGCATATTACATTTTAGTTCAAGAAGGCCAGTTAGATGTGACAGCGGTCTTCACAGCCAGGTGTAATGATATTGGTAGTTGTGTGGACAACAACATTTACAATAATTAAGTGATTGTAGATAGTGGTAGGAAAAGCAGTATGTTGTTTTCCGGTGACGCTCCCTGCAAATCAAGCGTTAATAAAACAACACAGGTGAATTATATGCCATTATGGCTTCCATCTCCATTAAAATTATTATTTACTTAAGTAAAACTATATGCAACTTCGGTTATTGTGTATATCGATAATTAAACGATATTAAATGTTGGAATTTGTGTTGTTAAATTATTGATCAGCATGTTTATAGTCATAACAGTCGTTATTTAACAGAAATCGAACCGAACAATGCAACATAATGGCCTGTATGTGTAGTTGCAATACTGTTGGTGTATCATGTAAAACCACAATCACAATGGAATATCGTTATTATAATTCATAACCTGGAGCTGTGTTATTATATTGTTACCGACATGTCAGTCTGCCTTAGGTCTCATGAATGAAGGCTAAATTGTGGCTGTATGGAAGTTCAATGGAATATCTGCTTGACACAAATAGTAGATGATATTAAACACCAGTCTTAAGATTATCATGTTATCAACAGAACTTGTATGACGTGACGTGTTTTTATTTTATTTTGTGTGATGTTGACGGTAAGGATTGCGTCTATATAGGGTAATGTGTTCAATGACCGATTTACTTCTTGTAACGTGATGTCCTTGACAAGGATTGTGTCTATATAAGGTAATGTGTTCAATGACCGATTTACTTCTTGTAACGTGATGTCCTTGACAAGGATTGTGTCTATATAAGGTAATGTGTTCAATGGCCGGTTTACTTCTTGTAACGTGATGTTCTAGATTCAGACTGTGTCTAAAAAGGTAATGTGTTCAATAACTGATTTACTTCTTGTAACGTGATGTTCTAGATTAGGATTGTGTCTAAATTAGGTAATGTGTTCACTGATGTTCTTTTTGTGACGTGATTTCCCAGATAAGGACTGTGTCTATAAAAGGTAATGTGTTCAATAACTGATATACTTCTTGTAACGTGATGTTCTAGATTCGGATTGTGTTTATATCAGGTGTTCAATAATCGATTCACTTAAATGAATGATGTTACAGTGACGATTGTGTCATGTATGATGATGTGTTCAATAAATAATTCATAAAGAGTGATGTTCTAGATAAGGATTGTGTCTATAAAAGGTAATGTGTTGAATAACTGTTTACGTCATGTAAGTGGTGTTCTACATAGGGATTGTGTCTAACAAAGGGATTGTATTCATTGACTCTATATAAATCGATTTCTTATTAACCAATTCATTAAACTAATGGATGTCACTGATAACCAATTCCCAATAAATGGACGTCCTAAATACCTGATTTATGCCCATTAAAGAAAAGGTGTAAACAATTAATGAACTCATTGTCTGTTTAATCCAAACCATG